GATATCAACATCTCTTACCACTTTCTGGTGGTGTATGCTTCTAATTTTACCATCATGGCTCTTAAGTTATAATGAACATCTTGTTATTAAGCAAAAGGTTACACAGAACAGGCAAAACATAGCAAGAAATGCTCCAATTTTCTTGTCATTCTACTATGTTTAACCATTTGAAAGTAAGTAGGAAGGTAAATCAGTATATTGCAACTTTATTTTCTCCTCAACCTTAAGATCATAGCATATGTGCAAAACAGATCAGTGCATGTGTATTGAAATTGTCTGCATAATTAAAACATTCAACATACAGAAAAAAAGCATGGTGCTTCTCTGAAATTCATATTATGGTGATTGGGATTATTAATATTGCACCTCCATCAGCTGTGACAGTAACTATGCACCTTCACGCCTTGTCATCTTCACACCTATCATCTTCATCTCATCTTTCCTCACATTAACACTTCCAGAAATATCACTGTCACACCTCATAGTTTCACTCTTATATTTTCATAAATCACACCATTATCACTCACTTATGCAGTCACACAAATCTAAATTCAGGGGCGAATCCGGAGATATTTTCTGATAGTCCTCTAAATTATCTTTGTTGATCCATCCTCCATTTTTGACTAACTTCTGACAGAAAAAAATCACATTCCTGTCAATGTTAACTTCAAAATCTGACCGTCTTCCAGAAGACCCAGAAGACAGCCTCAATCCGCCCTGAAACTGCCACACTTTAAAACACTGTTACTCTCACCAATTCTGGTAAATTATAAAACCTCTCATAACTATTATACCTCCACCAGAGTTAAGATAAGTGGCAAACTATATATATAAAATAAGTATAAGTGATCATTTTTGCTAGAAATATTCAAATGGTTGCTGTGTCCCATCATGCAATCTGTTATAAAACTGACATATTACTGTCAATGTGCTCTCTCATCATGAGTCATATAGGGTGAGTATTGGGTATAAATAAAGACCAATACTTCAGGTGACTTTGGTAAATGTAGCAAGCAAAGCAGTTTGATATCATACATTATCTATTGACGCAAACTCTCTCTCTCTCACACACACACACACACACACACACACACACACACTGTTATTTCCCATTTCACGTCATGTTCAAATTTTGAAAATGTTAAAATAAAAAATTTAATGTATAGTGTTCATCAAGAAACAAATATAGAATTATTGTCTCAACTTTTGAATCCAAAAAGTTACAATTTTTATCTGATTATAGCACAAGCATGTGCTGACATGATGTGAACCTAAATATACAATGATAACACTTTTTAAGATGAAAACTAGACAACAAAGCTGTCCAATGTACAGACCAATTTCAGTAACAAAATTGTTTAAAAGTCGTCTGTATCTGGTAAAACACAAATAAATATCCTGTGAATTTATTTTGCTGCATAAAATGAGGGCAAAGGGAAATGGTTTGTGGAAGATGTTGTTTACTTGCTCCTATATGTGAGTCCTTGAAATAAGACAACATTCCAAACTTTTACTTTAGTGCTATGAATCACTTCATTAAGTACAAAGAAAATAACTGACATGATTTTAACCTTGCTTGCTTTGAGATGGATTCATGGCTAAAAAAATGAAAAAGAAATTCATGAAATTTTCAGTATCAAGAATCAGACCTGTATGATAGAGGGAAATAAAGCCATGGTTTTTCATTTTCTGCATTATGGAATGCACAACAAATACTTGTATGCTGGGGAAAAAGAGAAATTTGTATGCTGGGAAAGGAGAAAAAAATTATGACTTTTGCCTAAATGGTCTGACAAATCCAATATATGCTCATGTCCTGTATTTTTTAATGTTACAAATCAGCCTGGCCAGTTTGAGGAAAATAAGTCACATGGTTATCTATCTCATGTTTAAAAAAAATTTTCAGTGACAATGACAAATGCAGGTAACAGCTACATGTCCAGACACACTGCGTCTGTACATAAAAAAAAGACAAAGAAAAGATGGGAAATTTGCCCATCAAACAATAAGCCCGATGCTGTAGGAATGCTTTAGTTGTGCCATTAGAAGTGAGCCCAGCAAACACAATCACATTAGTATGGAATGCATAGACTGCTCTAGTTGTGCCCCAGCTAACACAGTTTACCTGCTGTGGCTCCCATGGTGCTCCCAGGCTCTGAAGAAATGCAGTGCAATATGGCATGTTCAAGCAAGTGCATTACTAATATGGGCAACTATGCTAAAGCCCAACAAGATGGCCTTAAGTTCTGAGGCATCTAATCAAATGCTTCTGTTTAAACAAAAATAATAGCAAGCTATGTCTTCATAGAATGTTTTTCTTGTAAGCAAGCAAAATATGTTGGTTTTAATAGACAAGCAAGTAATACAAGGTGAAAAGTTTGCATGACAACTATGATAAGCATACAAATTAAAATTAGCTACAGTTCTTTACAAAATAAACCCACATGCTGCATTTACATGCAAAATTCAGGATCATGTTTTCATATCAACAGGTTCAATTGTTAGGCTAACTACAAATTAAAGGGATGACAACTGTTTGTAAGTTATCCAATAAATGCATTGTAAACAGCTCATAGAAATATAATAAATTCATTTTCAATGCAATTACTCTGGAATTTGTGCTTGCCATCACATCACATGACCTCCATAGATGGCTACACTATGTAATAATCTCCTAAGAGAATATTACAGAAAACCAATCTTTTTAGAAAGAAACCAGGGACTAACTTTGAATGTGGGAATGGATTCATTAACCACTGGTAAATATGGGAAAATTGTCCTTTACCCCAGGAAAATACATTTTTTTGGCCAAAATGAACAGTTGTTATCCCTTTAAGCACAACTGAAAAGTGATTATGTTCAAAGACTTATGGCTTAAACAGAAATACTTTCCCAGTGGCCAAATTTATATTAAAGAAATTCATTGCATAAAAGGTTTCTTCTGAAATGTATATCTCTTCAGGCAGTTCTCTACAAAATTACTGCCGTAGAATTTCTCCTTGCTGACAAGTTTATCAACCAGTCTCATTGACCATAAACTTTCTGGGATACATAAGCTTTTGCTGAAAATATGTATAAAAGAAAAAGTTAAATCCACACAAAAACTACATATAGTTTACCTTCTGTAGATACAATGGGGCCATTCAAGGGGCCATTAAGAGCTTCTAATAAATTGATGGCCTCATAACCAGGGGGAACACCTTCTTGGCTCACAGGGAATTCCTCCGATTCCTGGCTCTGTAATAAATTGAATTAATTTTCATTTTTATTATTATTGAAACAAAATATTATCACAAATCCATGTTAAGGTAATAAAACAATTACTCAGAACCTGTTATCTTTGTTTCCATACAACTGTGTCACTACATTTATTGCAGAATTGTCAAAAAATGCATGAACCAAGTTTACTCAACAACACTTACAATATACAAGGTGCACACAACTTAAAATCCACAACATCCAATACATAAGGATGACTTTGAACAAGGTGTTTTCTCTTTAACTATACCTGTGCATGACAACCGGAATGTTTCTTCCTTAATGCTCTTATTTGCAGCAAGGCTCGGAAAGGAGCCCTGCAAATGGGACAGTTATTGGCTTGGTAGCGCAGAGAATCAGCACAATTATTACACAGACACAAATGACGACAGGGCAGGATCAGGGTGTCCCTCATGTCAGACATACAAATGACACACTCAGACCCGTTGTCCTCCCAGTCTTCCTCTTCAGTCTCAAGCTGAAAAATAAAAGAAGATTACAAATATCATTTCTTCCCATTCACAACAAATATTCTATGCCATCTCAGTTATGGTTTCCTATATAGAAGAGTCATACCTGAGTTTACAGCCTTTAAAGAGATAATAACTTTTTGTATGAGATCTATATTTCATAATAAAATCATTGTGAACAACTAATAGAAATATAATATACTCTGTTGTACCACAAAAATGGCAGTTATAGCTATTTTTCTGATATCTGAGCTTGTCTTTAGATCACGTGACCTCCATTGATGGCTATACTCTGTTATTATCTCTTAAGAGATATAAAACAAACTTTTTAGAAAAAAAGAAACAGGGACTAACTTTGAATGTAAAAATGGATTCATTAACCATGGGAAAATTGTTGTTTCCTCCAGGAAAATTCATTTTTTGGCCAAAACGAAAAGTTATTATCCCTTTAATCAATAAGAAAAATTTTAATCCCTAGTGAATCTGATTTCTATTTCTGTAATTTATGAATAACCCTCTTAATAGGTTTCATTCATCATTCTTTCCCCAAGTGTTTTACATGCTATGTATGAAGTGCATGCTAAATGTCCACATGTTCTGTTTATCTGATATATGCCAGTGATAACCCATGTTGTAAAAGTTGTTACAGCTCCCATCAGTTACGAACATATCTACTCACCTTTGAGCGAGTTGTTTTGTTCTCAATGCCATAGATTTCCTGAAGCAGATAGCACAATCCGTCCACCATTTGTTTCTGTTTCAGAGTCTTGATGACATAACCATCACACGTCTTCTCAAGCACAGCAAATGTGACATGGGCATGACCAATGTGATCTGGAGTATGCAAGAGAGAAAATAATTCTACATGGTAGTAACCTGCTAATATCCCAGACGAAATAATTTTCTTCTTTAAGAAGTGACAGAGAGATAATGAAGTGAAGTTTTTAAAAAACATTCTTCACATTTTTTTTCATTATCATTTGTCTCCTGGCACAATTACTTCAAGTACATTCAGCACTTATTACAGTATATGCTACCAAATGTCAGGTAACAACGAACTTTTTCCATTTTACCATTATGATTTATGATGACTGTATACAATGGCAAAGAGATTACAGACCTTCATCTTCAACCACACAGTGTATAACAATAGGTATGATATCCTTCTCTGGGACATACTGCCACTGAACAAAAAGACAATGTGCAAGGTGTGAATACAGAGTTGCATCTCCATAACTGAAGTCATATTCCAAGAAATGTTCAAAAACATGGTTTAAATTATTATTAAATTCTTTAGAATTATCTTTAAATAAAGCATTTATACTTCTATAAATTACCTTGTTATCAAATCATAACCAAAATATGCATCTTACTTCTTACCTAAAAAATAATTAATCATATTCAACCAATAATTTAAAAACAATCTATGATTTGTAACAGAAAGTGTCCAGAACTCACATCCTCCTCTGGGAATGCACTGGGCTGTATAATGTGTGTGGATTGACTGAAGACTTGGTTGGCACCACGTTTATAGTGGAAGGTTTCAGAGTTCATACTAGGATCCCTGGGATAGTATCTGGCAAAAAATGGGATTTATATATATGAATTATGATGTTAAATGCAACATAAGAGTAAACTTACTACAATTCACTCACTGAATTCTGCATTTAAGAACAAAAGTGCTGATAACTTTCATTTTTAAAATGACAAAAGTGAAAACTAATGCAGATAAAGATAAAGATAAACCTTACTGCAGCTTATGCACCAGAGGCATCTGCCAACAATTTACTTTACAGATAAAAATACTGTATTATACAGTACATTACAGAAGATATAAAGAGTACTTACACAGCCTGTCCATTAGTGATTTCCTCAGTGGCAAAATGATAGACTGTAACTGCACATTTCACATCAGAATCAAAAGTGAACTCAATGTTATATTTTGGACTGCCAGCACACTCCTCACTGTTTGTGCTGTCTTCTTTTCTTCCATCACTCCCTTCAGCTAAACTGGGGGCTGATGAACCACCTATAGAGCCTTTCTCGGAGGCTTCCACACCATCCTCAGTCACTCTGTGATAAACCAAACAGGCCATTGTGCGTTCAATAAAATATAAATACTTGATTGTCACTCTTACTGCATTGTGAATAGAATTTCAGATACAGTCAGATAATACTACACAATGCAGTTGCTGATGACAATAACTAGACAAGAAGAGAGATTAAGAATATCAAAAACAGTTCAAACTATTCACAGTATATGTAAGATAATATCAGCTTTGTTACCCACACGCACAAACACACACCCTGATATCATACATATCAAGATATAATATACATACAGATGAAATACCAGGTCTAACCTTATCAATCTCAAGGAATCTTTTCTTATGTTGACCAAGCTGCGAAGGGTCTTTGTTGGCTCTCCTGGTTGAGGAGCAGGATAGGGAAACTGAAATCAGTACAGCAGCCACTTTTATAAATTATACATTCAAAATATCATATCATATCATACATATGAACACTGTAATACAACATTATATATAGCAAACACACACACACACATACACACACACACACACACACACACACACACACACCAAACACATCTGGTATTTACTAGTATTTTAAAAATGTAATCTCTGATTCACTGGAAAATTAAATGCTATATGAAAAATAGCATATAAGATTTCATAAATAAAAGGATTACATGTTAATGTTAATAGCACTTACTGGTATAGGTTTACTTCCGAGAAAGTTCAAATCAGTACTTTCTCCAAACAGATATGCTTCTGGTTGCATTACATCAAAGCGTTCCCCTCCCATGATGAAATGACTACCAAAGTAGTTACCTGAAAAGGGATCGATTTGATTTTCATTCATTTAAAAACAATTTGTTGATAGCCCAAATCTTTCCAAATGTGTATACTAATAAGACTGACAAACAATCTAAAAAGCAAGTTTGCTGTAGACATAACTTCTTCTCTGGTCTTTCTTCCGTAAAGCTGTGTCTTTATATCATAACTGATTGCCTTTATTTTCAACTAATAAAATAACTGATGTGTACATTTTTGTTTAAATTCCCATATGCATATATAAAGTTTCTGGGTGTGTTTGCACATGTGTGTAAAAAAACTTTTTTAAGGAGACAGATTAAATAAAATAATCTTAGGCCAAGTATGAAACTGAAAAGAGGTTAATTTTCCTTCTCAGGTGTTACCCTGGCAGTAGATGTCTTTGAGACAAGTTCAATTGAATATATTAGACACTACATAAGAAAATCTGTATTTTATTAAATATGTAAATAAATGACACAGATTATTAGTAAATATCACTCCTTTAAAATCGCATTCAAAGCCGAAAAGCCCTCGTAAAATTAGACAATATTAATGTACCTAAATGCAGTTATATTGTCAAGTACTCGAAGTCTTTACTTTAGTATCAAGATATCACTTACCAACTTTTGGTGGGTATTTGTAGGCATTATTAGTCGGCATGTCCACCTCTTCCACCCTGGCCTCTCTTCGACTATTTAAAGCCCCCATTTTGAATAATCAAACGCACCAGTCAAAACAACGGGGGTTTATGTGAAGGGGTACTCCGTGTCCAGGAAAATTATGGAAGAAGAACTGTGTACGTACACATAAAGTGATGACGTCATGGTAAGGTTCTATTTGTCAATTGGATTTTAGGCATAATTAGTCAAACATGGGGGTTGAAATATACTTTACGATTGCTAACTAGAACATGATTTTCATTCTATACCACTGCCATTCCTGTACACATTATTCTCTTTTGTTGTCTTTCTTGTTTAAACAAAATGCATTTTGTATAATTATATTCTGCAAAGGGTCGACGTTTACTAAACGGAACAGCTTATGTTTACAAATTCGCTTCATAGAGAGGCCACCCCCATTTCGTGACATGTGAACCAATCAAAAGCGTCGTGAATGAGCTCAGTTGTCAATCACTCTCAGTGTTTTTCGGAACCAAAACAAGCACGCTTCCCGTCGAGCCACTTTTGGCCTTAAATCGCCAATATGGACAATTTAAGGGAGCAAGTTATGATCAACCAGTTTGTTCTTGCAGCCGGATGTCACGCTGAACAGGCAAAACAGTTGTTACAGGCAGCAAACTGGCAGTTTCAGGTAGGAAAAATAAGATCAAAACATGGCGTGATTGTTATTGAATGAAAACGTGACCTAGTTTCCGCCATGTTTATGTTGTGAAATCCTTTTAAACAACCCTCTAAATCAAGATTCACATAATAATTTCCTCTTTCAGACCGCTCTCAGTATGTTTTTTCAAGAGGCAGCCATCCCAAGTTGTCGAACTCACACGAACGGGCACTACCCGGTAAGTGTTTTCCTCGCATTTGCCTCGCGAGTGAAATCCTCCATGTTGATGACATCATCAACTTGCAATGTTTTAGTTTAACTACAGAATAAAGATGATAGGTTAACTTTAGCGCAGGATTGTCTAACTATTCTGATTGTGATTTGCTTTTAGAAAATATCCTAATTTTTAAGCCCCCCTGTTGATATATTATAATTCTTTTAAGTTAATACCTTTTAGAAATATTCATACTTTCAGTTTCCGTTATTTAGAACTAGTTAACCTGCTTCCGAGGACGTACGAAGGTGGGGAAACCCAGATAGATTGGTGTGGTCGTATTATGATGACTAATGGGATTTCATTTATGTATGATTTTATTTCATTAATGAATGGGACAATTTATAAATAATAAACTCCAAACAACTCCTTTTTTGGGGGGCTTTTAATAGTGTATCCTGTAAAATACAGTTTGTACCAGTATATTATGCAAGATATTTGGAGGCAAGCCAAATCATTAGGACATATATTTCCCCGATAGAGATCTGAAAAAATATTTCAGTGCGAATTGTTCTAGTACAAAGAGATAGTGAATGTCACTACAGCTTACTTAGCCCATTTTTCAATTGGGAGTGTGAATGTGTGTGTTGGTGTGTTATAACTTGTTAAGAGGGCGGGTTGATAGAGTACAAATATTGTTATTGTTTTATACTAATTCTGGCCAACTAATGGAAAAGGCTTAGTGCCAGTAGGGTGGTGCAACTAGATATCTTGCTCATTGTTTACATTGGCAGGTGTTTTAATGATGGCTTTCATTATCTAGCTGTTAGCTGTTGTGGATGATTGTCAAATATATTTGTTTCTCACCAGGCTTTAGCAATTATGAAGTGGATAACTCTCATTAGGGATTTTTTTATTTCTGGGATGCCTCAGAAGTAGATTACCAGCTTTTGGACAAGAGTGGAACATTTCCCAAGGTTACATGCATATATGATACATTGCTTGATCAAGCGTTTTATTTTCATGAGCCTTTGAACCACCCGATTTTGTCAACGTAGAGAACTTGCTTTAAATAAGATGTTGGTTTATGTGTGTGAAAAGTATGCTGCCATGAGCAGAAGAGCAGAATTGTTTTAAACTGTATCAATGTGCTTGTTTGGCAAATGATTAAGGAATTAAATGCCCAAAGCACTTGCAATAATTTAAAATTTAGCCCAGACAAGTCGCCCATGTTGTTTAGAGCTCCACTTCAAGTCAAATATATCTGTCAGTCAAGGCTTATATTTGTGAGTAGACCTTTTTTACAAGATCAAATTATTTATTAAGACTGTTGACTCTAGAGTAGTGGTCCAGATGGCTGTGAATCAATTGCCATGTGCACTTAGCATCTGGTGGTGAGAATATCACATAAAAATGGGTTAATTAAGTTGATTTACTTTTTAGGCATCTGTCATATTACATTGGAGAACTTTAGGTTAAAGAACTGAAAAAATCTATCAACTGCATGTTTGTTAGATGATCAACATGTTCACATTTGTAATGATACTAACCCACTGAATGTTAAGATGGAAAACATTTTATTTTGCATTTCTTGAATCTGCCACACAATACTTCCTTAACTTTTTTAGAACTAATTTTATGGTAATAACTTAAATCTTTTAAATGAGGGGAAATTGTGAATTTTACAGATACTGTATTTTTTAAGTCACATTTTTTTTAAATTGGAACATTCCTATTGAGAGGTTGCAGCAAAATTAAAGAGAAAGCTTCTCTAGATTTCTTTTTTATGCAGTAAAAGCATCAACAAATTACATGTAGAAATACGTTTTTTGTGATTATAAAATAATGTATATTAAAGTTGATAAATTTTGCCCATTGAAAAAATCAAGTAATTACTGTACATGCATAGTTTTACTCAAAATAACAGTACATCACGATACAGTTTTTTTTTTTTTTTTTTTTTTTTTTTTTTTCCCCCAGGTAATTCCATAATGCGCCTTTCAAGTTAGGTTGAGTCTTATGTGGCCAGTTGAACAAAAGAGTACTTTTATTTAAATTTCGACATTTTTTGTAGTCAGATAGTGTGGCATTTAAGTAGTAGAAATGAATATTGTGTAATTCTGTTAGTCTTTCTTTTTGACATATTTTTGAAATATTTATTTGTGTACTCAAAATTCAAATAAGTTATTTGCTACAACAAACATGACAAAAGAGTGATTCCAGAGATGTACTCATGCTTATCATGTGACAAGAGAACACCCACAACAAAAATGCCCCTCAGTAAGTGTCTGTCTCTTTAGTCTGATAAAATCTGTGAAATTTATTATTTGGGTTGCTTAGAGTGGTGATTATTCTATGTTTTGGACAATAGGAGTTGATCATCAGATGTTTGAAGTACTTACCTTGGCTGTGTAGAAATTAGTGAAGGACACCAATCAGATGTCATGACTGAGATGTACTCTCTCTTTCTTTCTCTCTCTCTCTCTCTCTCTCTCAAGTCTGCTAGTTGTGTAAGTAGCATGCATAAAAAGTAGGATTACTGTACTGCGCTCTGTGGCAACATCCTGTTCAAGTTTATGAGGAATAATTCTGTTACTAACTTACTTAAATTAAAATTGTATCATTATTTTCTCCATTTTCTTTCTATTATTTTCTTCATTTCTTCCCTACCTTCTCACTGATGGCAATGAGCTAGTAAAGAGATTTTTTCTGCATTTATAGCATATAACATTTGGTCAAAGTCATAATAATGTTTTTGTATTGAAATTAATAATTATGTAAGTGTATTGTAACTATCATTATTACTGAGAGAAGCATTGTTTACATACACTGCTAGCAGCAACAGCCATGTCAGCTGGTACCTAATAAGGATGCCCATTAAAAAACTGAAGTAATGCTGGAGTACATTCAACACAAAGGGAAATGGATATAAAGTTAAATGATTGAGAGTTACACATGTTGTTTCTGGTTCACTGGGAGAATATGTTACAAGTTCCCAGAAGTCTAGAATGTTCTGTTAGGGGTAACATGAAGGTTATGACCTATAAAAGTTGGGTAAAAGCACTGGCCTGACTTTACAGTACTGTTGAATGCATTTTGCAGTGACAGTCATAGAAATACTTGGTTTTAATGGGTTGTATTATTTGATATTGCTAGAATGTGTTAGTCTTCACTACATGGTTGTAGTTTCCCAAGTGAAGAGCTTACATACCTCTGTTCCAGTATGTTACAGTAGCATTTTAGTTAAAAATCATTATTTCTGTCCTTCAGTATGTATTCCTAGAGGAAACTGATTCTCATTAGCCTTGTCAATGGTTCTTTACCTCTGTAACAATAATAGTAACCTATTGAGGTATAATTGTTTTTTTTTTGTGGGGCAACTGTTTGTAAAAATGCTCTTTAGCCAAACGGAGTCCACTGTACAAGTGTAGCAGTTTACACTATGCCTAGAATTAAAGGAAGGTCCTTTCAAAACTGGCACCAGTTTTGAATGTTTTTAATAGTAGGTGATATTCAGGTCTTTTGCTATGCTTAATTACATGTTTTTGCTTTATTTATTTTTATATCTATATATATTTTTATAAAACAGTGCAGAACTATTTTCCTGATTGAATGTAATCAACATATACATCTGTTAAAGTACAATTGTATTTTAGGGCAGTAGAATGGAATCTTTTCATAACTGTTTTTGATGAGGTAAGTTAAAATTACATTTGTCTCATCCTTTTGTTTGCAGATTCATAGTATGTGCCTTTTTGTGCATCTGTTGTGACTTGGACAACCAGTCCAGCAGGTTTTTGATATTTCACTCTCCTTATTGTC